CATCCCAGTTTTTTTCTTTTCCCAGCCCAGTAGCAGAAAATATACCTTTTCTGCTAAATGGCAGTGAATATATTTTTATCACTTTTAATGCTATTTAGCATTTAATTGAAACCTGACCCTCTTGCTTAGCCTTATACCTTGTCTTTTCCCTGCAGCATAAGCATGCCATCACCTGCACTTTGTGTAAGTCCAGATCCCAGCAGTCCACTATGAAAGATTCTATTCATATATGGATGAGCAGGAGTTTGGTGCTTGGCAACTGGAAAACATGACAAGGTTCAGCGCTTCCAAGGTAAAATGATTTTTCTTACTTATTTTGGGTGGTATGAGTAACTTCTTCACTTCCAGAAATTATATAGAAGTAAACCTAGAAGCGTTAATCTTCCCAGTCTCTGCCTCTGCTTAATGTGCATCTGTAGCCCTCCTTCCCCTCTGCAGTCAGTTCCTTAGAGATGCTCAAAAGTATAAGTAAAATCTTCTCTCTATGTAGCTAAGATTAATTTTATCTTCAAGGAAATTATCAAATAATTCATAAATACAAATAATTTCTAGCTAATGTCTTCCCTTTCTACACAAAGGAGTAGAAAAAGCAGATTTTAATCACGTATGTAATTCTCAGATCCTTGAGTGTCCATTGTATTTCTCTTCATGGTAAATATCAGATTGAGAGTAGCAAAATATTATTTTAGAACTAAATAAATCAGTTTAAGATAATGACTCATAAAATACTGAAGCTGGTGCAGTTTCTTTTTTTTTTTTTTTTTTTTTTTAGAAATAAAACTAGGTTGAAATAATTTTTTAAAAAATTTGTTTATTATATTAACATACCTACTCTGTCTTCCTGCAGATCTCTTGTACAGGGAAATCATGGAGGAGAGGGAGAAAAGAAAGAAAAGAAAGAAAGAAAGTGAGAACTTACAGAATTTACAATTTTATAATTTGGAAATGCTAACTGCTGTGCAGGCATAGGGATGGGTTTTGGCACATGTATTGAGGGAATTCTATGGGTTCAGTAAAGTCTAAGTAGCTCTAGAGAATCACTGTGACTCGAGGGGAAAACATTCCCTCCTTCTTGTAAAGTGAAGTGGTATTCCCCTCTGTAGAGATAACTTGCAAGTGACTGACTTAAGAGCAAAGCAAATATAGGAAACCCAACAAAGTAATATATCATATTAAGACAATTGCACTTGTTTTCCAACATAATGGAATAATGAATCAAAATGTTCAAGATGACTAAATGTTACAATCAACAAATAAGACATGCACGGCTGCTATGAGAGAATGGTCAGATCAAAATTATAATCTCCTAAACATGGATAATTCACTGAATTATTTGACTATTTGTTTTGATTTGATATAATAAGTACCCAGACTAGAGCCACAGATCCGAATTACTGATAATGAACGTGAGTAGTCTCAGCTCACGCGTGGACTGTCAAAGTGTCTCTCAACTCATTTGAGACTTGACCTCCCGGAGGGCAGTGGAGCTCTACACAAACCTGCGCTGTGCTTTCTGCTCCCAGACTTCGTTAGATAAGAAAATCTATATTGAATTAATACACAAACAGAAAAACCTTATGTCTGAAAAGTCTTAAAAAAAAAAAAAAAAGAAAAAACAAAACAGAAAGGAAGGGAATAAATTAATGAATTGAAAGCTCTGCCTACATAAAGAGTTATAGTGCCTCTTAAGAGTAGCACTCTGACGCATTAATAGTCGGGGCAGGAGCTCAGTTTAACTATTGCTGCAGCTTAAGGTGCACAATTACATTCTTCAGCGTCGACATTTTCACCTTGATAAGCATAATAATGCCATGCAGATGCAGACTAAAACCCATAATTTCAGCACACTGCTTCTACTCACGTTGATTATAATAAGGCACGGCACTGAAGCATGCACAATCCTACATTTAATTGTCAGCATAGCCCTTCATTTAAAACAAGAAGTTAGTTAACAGTATGCCTGCTCCAACGAGTGTGGGAGGCATTGCAAATAGCTGGGGCTAAACAGAGGACATTAAATGTGCCAGGAAAAACATGTGCAAAAAGCCAGTGAGGGCCTAGATTCACCTCCAGTTTCTCTGTGGGTTTTGATGCAAATTAAAAATAAAATATGATATGTTTATATTTGCAAGAGAGAGCCTGTGGTTTTTGGTTTTTTTTCCCTTTTCATTTGTTTCTTAAACTAGGAAAAGTTCCCCAGCAGTTAACCCTCCATCACTAGAAAGCAGCAGGCCAGATGATGACACTGAGACACAAATTCTGGTACATATAGAAATATCTGAACAAAATAAACATGTCTAAGTTTGAAAAGTGAATGTATAATATTAAAAGTAAACATCCATAAATTAACCAAGACAAGAATACTGTACATTGCCTTTTTTATACTAAGTCACTTCTTGGAGGAAGAGAAAAGCAACATATGGTAAAAAGAAAATTACTTAAACTGGGACAATAGTCATACATATACATATATACACATACTTTATTCATACATGTTTGAGTGCATATGAATCTATTGGTTGAAAAACATCTAGCTGATAAAAAATGAGTATAAAAAATACAAAAAGTCATACTTGAAAGACAGAATTTCTTGTATTTTTTAACTTGTGCTTTATTGTTTGATTCTTGAAGCAGTAGTAGTTCGAAAAAAAAACCACACCCAAACTTGAAACAACCAGAATAACCTTGCTTGCAGTCACCACATAATTCTCTTTTATGATACCATAATGCCTTGGTAATATGTTTTAATTCCTTTTGATTGAGAGCAAAGGAGAGAAGACTTCAAAATGCATCATTTTGAAAGGGAAGGTTCTTTGCCCTGGCTCACTGAACGCTGTGTTGTGCTTTCTAGGCATAATTAACCATCAGGCACTACTTCCTACAGGCACTTTGTGAGACAATGTATCCAAAGAGTTGCAGAAGTTCAGGGGCTCCTCGTTTTCTCACTGCAAATCGAGGAGTTACCTCGCGATTGCCACTGGAAAGGCAGCATATGTCAAACGCTGAGCTGAGAAGCTGGTGGGAGGTCTGGCGAGACATCAGGCAGATCCCGGGGCTGGCTCACAGTCAGACCCCGCCTGCTGCTCACTGGAGCTAATGGCAGCCCCAAACTCACCTCGTGAGCATCTGGCATGAGACTGGCTGGTTTATTTTGTTAGGAATCTCGTGGTGTTGCTGTTCTGTTCTCTGTAGTAGAGAAAAGGTAGGCATCTCATCCCGACAAGATGCCTCTTCATTGGTTTAGCAGCAAAGCTATAAATTACTGTGCTGGCTTATATATAATATAAGCCAATGCAAAACTACGATAACGTAATTAGCCTATGAGCTTGTAGTAAATACAGACTTCAAAGCAACTACTGTAGCAGATTTATGCACATTTATTTCCAACTCAGCCTCAAACCTAGCTGGGTATAATACTTCAAGGTCAAACCTCTGCCTTGGATTATGATAGATGGAATTCATAAACTTGAGGTTTTGTTAAAAAATTACTCTTTTTAGCCTTTTATATAAATGAAATGGGAACTCACCAGCTACAGTTAAATTTTGCAGACTAGCAAACCAGTAGGTAGACTTGACAGAAAAGTCTTTGCAACAGACCATGGAATTCCTGAGTGGTGCTGAGGACCAGTCTTCAGCTACAAGCCCTAATGATGTTTTGGGAATGCTGTGCTGATGGCCACAAGGAATGGAGCAAAATTAGGGAGCTTTTATGGAATTACTACCCTATGTAGCCCCAGATGTTGCCGATAGAGGACATTTGCCATAGTGAGTTGGAACGTGTTTCCTCTGATGAGTGTGCTTCTTGGTAGGTCAGAGTGCTGAGGTGGCACAAAGCAGCTGGATTGTAAAATCTCCTCATGGAGAATAATACAATGTTGATGGTAGGACTTGCTATTAATTTGAAAAGTGCACTGTAAATTAAGTGCTTATAGTTTTGAAGTGATGTGTAGTGCAATTCAAATGTTGGGTGCTCTAAACTTCTTGAACTTTAATTAACCACTACATTCATTAAAAAGTTAAAAAAAAAAAGAAAAAAAAGAAAAAAGGAAAATAGTATTACTTTCATGGGAGAAAACAGTTGAATGTGTTTATATGAACCATTTAATATCAGTCAACAAATGATTACCAGATCTCAGAGGTAAAAATCATCTAATTGGCCCTCAGCATTTAGAAGCAGTTGAGTGATTGGGAGGATACTGTTACATAAATATTGTCACATATTATCTTATCTTAATAACTAAATTATATAGAACTTATATGACAAATTATATTGAAGGCAACATGCATAACCCTTTATTATTCAGAACGTGTGGTGAGATGAGACAACAACTAATCCCCACCACAAACAGTGCTTTTTATACATTGATACTGATAAACTGAAACAGTCAGGCTAAATTGCCAACTGGCACCTCTGGAGGGGTCCCGATGGACCACAAGAGAGAGTTTCTTCAGTGATTTCATTACATCTAAATTAATTTTACACCACATTTTTTTATTCCTATTATGCTCAGAATTGTGCAAAGACAGTGTTTACTACTTCATGTGAGGTTACCTTGCAAAACTAATGATAAAATTTATGTTGGAGGGCCAACATATATGCCAGCCTTCTCTAAAAACGTTGCTACAATTTCTTTTCAGGATGTTGTAAAATCAATAAAACACCATTATCATAATGCAACAATTTTCTGTGCATTTTTCCTGTGGCTGGTTGTCTCACTTTCCTGTTAGCATCGTATCCTCCTGCCCCGCTTCACTGCTTCTGTGACCACATTTTATTATGCTCTAATGTGGGTGAGATGAAACTGCCTTCTCTAAGTACATATCTTTCTTTGTCAACTGTAATGGAGCCAAAACAATTTGTCTGGGTTACATCATCATCTTGGTCAACTCCAAGGTAACATGAGCCTTGCAAATCACTATATATAGAAAAAGGTCTTTAGCATTTGATTAGTATTGTGTCATAGCTTCTCACACCTGTCAGAGTTTTTATTCAAGATCCTAATGCTGTCCTAAGTAGTGAAATTCTGGTTTCTTTTATATCATTCTTTGTTTTTCTTCCTTTCTTCCCCTTCTACATACAGATGTAGATACTCATCTATAAAAATACAAGCCCTGTATAGAAAAATTATGTACCTTCAATATTTCAGTGTGTGTGTGTGGGGGGGTATCTTCACTGAGAGTTGAATAATTCTGACACAAATAAGATCAGTCTTAGGCTAAGGGCCCCATCCATGGTGTGGAGTTTGTCATGAGCTCAGGTAATTGGGAGAGAAGGCACAGAAAGAGAAAGAACATAACTGCTAATATGATAAGAATGGATATAGCTGCCTGTTTCATTCCTCCACTGATGAACAGTTTGTGTAGGTGTCAGATACAGAGGTTCAACAATTCTGGAGTCCTGCTATAGCTAACTCTAGAAAAACTTTTAAATGGGAAAGTCAGAAATATACTGCTGCTGCTTTCAAAGCAAATATTTTACTAAAAATGCAGCACAAATCTAAAACCCCACATTATGTTCCTCAAAAATAATCAATAACATTTCCTTCTCAAAACAAATCACAAACACCAAAACATTTTGCACTGAAGAAAACCAGGTCAGCTGCAACAGGGTTGCAATATAAAGGAAATTCAGGGAGGTATCTTCATCCCTTACTTCGTACAGTCAGTAGTGTCTGAATCCAGAAGAAATGTCTTGAAATGGATGCTTGTTTTTGCCTCCCAAACCCCACTGGACACTTAATATGCAGTTTTTTATTTTCTAGAGCAGAAGGGATAAAATAAAAACTAAAGTGAGTCACAAATATAAATTTTTTTTAATAGCATAATTTTCAACAGTAATTATATCATTCTTTGAAATGAATTTGAATATAGGTGATCTTATGTTTCTACTTACTCTTTACATTTTGAATACATTTGTGATGTTGGTGCACGTATACAAAAGAGATATGAGCATGATTTTTTCCCCCATTAGCTCTGTTAAGACTTAGATTTCTACATCTATCAATACATGTAATAAATGTGTCAAAGCTGCTATAATGCTGATTCAGAACACTGCTTTTTTATTATTATTTTTTTTTTATTCAGGGTTATTTTGATAAGGAGGAAAATATTACCCCACTGCTGCTCTAGGAGGAGCGAAAACAAAACAAAAAAAGCCTCATATGGATAAGAAATATTTTTTCTACTGACTGAATTCCGAGTATTGTTTAACTTAGATCTTTATATCTACTTTCAGATGTGGGCATGATATGGAGTATTGCTTTGAGAATCAAATCCCAGTACAACTTCCACAGGGAGTTGACTACTCTCTTCTAATCTTTATGACAGTATCTTTAGCAGTAGTATTATATACTTCTTTCTGAATATATACCATATACTTTCAGAAGAAGATTCCATTTTTTTTCATATTAGCAGGTAATTCAGGCACAGAGAACAGTATTCATTTGATGGGTGTTACTGTACTTCAGATGGTCTGTTAAACTTGCCATGTGAGTATATGTAATAAAGTTAAAAACAAACACATTTAAGGTAAGATTCATCACATCTTACAACATATAGATGGGTGGTGACCTTTAAGGTCCATTCCAGCCCAAGCCATTCTATGATACATTAATACGTTCCCCTCAAGCGGGCAGCCACATTCCCAGAAACCTACTGACACTCAGTTTTGGCAAGCAGCCCCCTCCCTCCCCTTCTTTCCTTTGTGTTCATGTTTCTCATCTCCTTCTCATCTGTTTCTTTCTTCTCCCAGCTTTGATGATTTCATGTTTTAGTTTTAAACTGTAACTATAATCAAATCAGAAACTTGCCTCTGTGTTCTTTCTCTCCAATGTACTTCCACTAAAACTACAGCACATGGAACTGACTTTGGGATAAAATAAGAAAGAATCTATAAAGTGTCCTTATTTCAACATTTGTTTTACCTTGAGAAATGATTTTTTTTTTCTGAACAATTGCTCTGTACACAGTTTAGGATCCAGAATTTTCCTCTTTCTCTTCTAACTTCTCTGGACATTGCTGCTGTCTCAGTCTTAGCAGATCTCCATAGAAATGAAATAGTGACTGTTATTTCCCATATGACATTAATTCTGGATATTCTAAACATTGGTTTATAGTAATATATCTGAATTCTTTGACCCTGTTTCCTGTTTACTGCAGCTTTTTTATTACAGTGCTCAAAACCAGACACTTAACACACTTTCAATTCATTTTTTAGATATGAAGATTGCTTGCAATGGAATTAAGTTAAAATTAGATTATAGAAACTCAATTTTTGCTTCGAGTCATTCGGGAGGCTTTTTTTCTTTTCTTTTTTTTTTTTTTTTTTTTGTGATAATTCATTAAGAATTAAATTATTAAATTATGTTTATTTGTTCAAAACATCCCACTAGCCTTTAATGTCTTGAAAGATATTAATAATCTAATATCATACCCTCACCTCAGGAGAATGAGTCCTTGTTTTATGTGAATTTCTCCTATTATACTCTAGATCCTGGAAGATACGATCACTTTCTTCTGCCCATTATTCTCTCAATTCCAGTCAAGGAGGATGAATTTTGATTTTGGAGAAGCGACTTGTACTAATTACTACCACAGAAACACAATATACACAGCAGTAACTTACAAATCTTGGAAGAATTCAGATAAAACAGACATTCAAGCTTTACCTCAATGATTTTTGTCTTAATGAACCCAGTTCTCAGGTCTTTTAAACCTCTGCCTCAAAGGCTTTTTTGGCCTCTGCTTCAGTTTATTAGTCTATTTATGAAATTTGCATAAAGATATATGGTCAGACTTTAAAACAAGTTGAGCTTAAAACTGTTTGATACAAGTCCTTGTGATTCGATTGTTTGGTTTAGTGGGGGCTTTTAAATTCTTTTTTTTTTTACAAACACCACAATTTTTCAGGTATTCCTCAGAGACTGATAAAAGATGATTGGGAACATTAAATGCATATATTCAGTGTTTTCTATTTTTTTAGAATTACTTTATTTAACACTTACCATCTTGGTATAGACAGAGCTATGAAAATATCTTTTTTTCCTCCCAATAGCTGTTCTTGATTTTCCTTTCTCTTGTTCTAATTTTATTCTCTTGACTTTATGTCCCGAGTGTCTCTCTCACCTTGCCCTCTATCTCCTTGTTTGCTTTTTCTTTCAATCAGCTTCATTTCTCCCATACACTTGTGGAAAGTATTCTTTGTCCTGTATGACGATTTGCTTTTTAGCCTCTCAACGTAAACGTTCATTTTAATTTGCACATAGGCAGTGTGACTTAATTTTTTCATACCAACCAATATTTGAATGGTCATCATCCATTTGCAGAGTTGCTCAGACACTTGCTACCAGATTCACTGCAAGAGCAAAATATTTCCTTATTTTCCTTCTGGAGAACAGAAAAGGGTTGCTGAGCTGGCCTTGCTCCAGGGATCAAGTCATCAACCAAAGCTCCCTGTGCTCAAGTTGCTGTTGAATGCTCAGGGCAGAAATGCCAGCTTAGGACCAGCCTGGTATCTTTCTTCTTCTGAGCTTTGTCACGAAACCCATCCATTCCAGCTGTTTCATCTCCAAGTCAACCAAGCCAGTTTTGACATATGTTGTTACTGTCAGGTTTTCTCTTAAGAAACTGGTAGCATATCGGGTATGAATTTGTTTCTTCGGTAGTGCTGGAAGATCAATAAATTACAGTAGAGGCAACCAGGAGTCAGTCATGTCTTAGACTGGCATAGCTGTTTCTTCTATAGTGTAATAAAACTTTGATGAGGATGAATTCAGGTTGTAAATTTACCATGGCCTATTCAAGACAAAGAAGAAAAATAGAGCTTTTTAAAAATGCAACAGTTCAAAATGTAGTTTAGTAAGAACTGAAAAAGAGCTGGTACCTTTCTTTTAGCTTCTTACATTATTATGCCTATACTTGAAATAATAGTCTGATTGATTGTTTATCTATTATTCTTGTCCTTCAAAGTAAATACAAAAAGGCTGCTCAGATTAAAAAGTTCTGTTATATCAGATACTTACACTTAAACACAAGAAAATACTTAGATACACCCACTTTCTAATGTAGACTTTCAGGCTTAAAACATTATTCAGCAAAGGAGAAGTATTTCTATTTTAAAGTTTGATTTAGCAAAGTTGACATAATGCAGAACATGATGTATGTGATCAAAATTTGTTGTACAAGACATAATGTAGCAGCAAAAATAAACATTAGGGTATATGCAGTTGTTTTATTTTCATATATATCGTCCCATATTTTTTCCAAGGATCAACCAGCAAGATTCCACTCCCATCCCCTACATCCTTCTTTTTTTGCCCTACTGCCTTCCCTCCCTCCACATACCCACTCTCACTTTTCTCATGTATTAACTCCCTCAAGCATTTGTTAACAGCTCTGTCTCAGAAGGAGAAGCAGGACAGCCATTCACTATAGTGCTGGGAAGGAGAACTGCAGGTAGTTTGAGAGCACAAACCTGGGATATCAAGTCACAGTACCTGTTGTGACTGAAGGCAATATTGACTACTATTTGCTTTGATACACAGAAGGCAGAGGCCATTTTTCTTGTTGCAGGTACACCAGCTGGAAAAATCCCGAAGAAAGTAAGTAATTGTGTCTGTAAGGTTGTTTCCGAAATTTTCAACTCTTAAGATTTAAAATTTCTCCTGTAAGCACGGATGGAAACAATGCTGTCGCCGTGTTGGCAATGGCCCTGGTTGCCATTAGTAACAGATCGAGCCCAGTAATCAGACTGCACTACTAATGGCTACAAGTACACTTTGCCTAACCAGTACTGGCAGGATGCTTTCCTTACAGTGATAAATGTACAAGCTGTGACTTGCATTTCATTCCCAACCTTGGCAAGCTAAAATAGCCTGTTAATGAATGAAGACAATCTTTAAGCATGCAGTTGTATGCCAACAGCAGTTGGTAATCCTCCATATCCATCTTATTTCATTCCATTTACAATTCCACTTGTAATCAAGCAATGAATAAACTACTGATGCTTGGCCAGCAATACCCACATGACCTTAAAAAGTGTTTGAAACCTGAAAAAAAGAAAAATATGCTTGTCACTAGTATTGCTTTCATTTTCACTTCAGCGTGCAGATAAGCAGTGCATTTGAAAGTCATTCTGAAAGTAAACTGCAGCAAACTCAATCAAAACTTTTATTATTGAACAAAACATACCAAAAAAAGTACCTTTTGTAAATGGCTACTAAGAGTAACCTTCAGTATGAGATGTTTCTGATATAGCATGTAACAGAGTACATAAAGACCAGTTACATAGTTTCAATAAACCACAGAGATTTATTTATCATGATATTGCCACTAAAGAGGCTGGATTTACAGAAAGCTGAAAACTTTGGTTGCATAACTATTAATATTAAAGGTAAAATTGTTTTTCTTATTTTATGTTAAGGTGAAAGCAAAACAGAGCAAATAGAGATATACTAAATTTCAGTACTCAGACAGCCTCTGCTTGATACATTTTTCTCTTTTCCTTAGGAATATATAGTCACTATAGGCAAAAAATAAAAGTATTTCTCCATTCTTTCCTTCACCTTGAAGGAACTGAGTTGCTGCCATTTATTAAAAGCTCAGCTGTTTTCTGACTAGAGGTAATAATTTAGTAATTATTACTGCTGCTTCTCATCTTACAGCACAACTTGATATCAGGACCTTTCATGTAACTTAATTATTCTTTCTCCCCTTTTCATAATTCAATCAGTTAAATACTGAATAGTAAAGAAGAATTATTGTTTTTCTTGCTCCTTACTGTCTCCTTTGTAACTTCAAAACGAATTTGAAACTACAAACCTAGCATGGCCAAAGAACTGTCTTAAGTGATACTTCAAAGTTCACCTTGAATGTGCATTTTTAATTCAAATGCTTGAAGCACCTAAAACTATTAGAGGAAACTGTATGGAACATGAAGGGATCTCTTTCAATACATATCTGATAACTAGCAATGAGAAAACTTCCCCACCCAATCAAACTTCAACAAAAGAGAAGACTTATGGCAAATCAACACTCAGTCCTTAAAAGTCAATACTGTGGAGTACTTACATGCTTGCAAATTTGTTGTTTTGATGCAGATTTTAATCTTTGTTCTAAAAATACAGTCTATGCTGAGAATTCTAAAACCAGTTTTAATGCAGTAGGCCACTTGGAGTAATTTACATTCTGCAAATTTGAAGTTTCACATGCAGTTTATCTGATGTTTATTGAGGCATAATACTGTTTTTATCACCTTCAAGAGGAGTAACTGGGTATGATCAAGCATTTACTTAAGCTGTCCAGACTGAAGGAAGTCTACCAAACTATCCACTAAATTACTTAATATATCCCTGACTAACTTTTATTGCTCTTCTAATAAATAACATTATTGTAACTGCAACACCTTCTAAGTATTAGCAAGTGGCTAATTACTATGGAATACCTAAAGCCAAAGATAGTCTATATTCCAAAAAGATTTTAGCATTCTAGGAGAAATCATGCAAAACAATTGCATTGTTCTTTATTTCCTAGGCAAAGTAAAAAAAAAATAAATTAATATAAATTAGTCTGCTGTCCATCTCTTACCAACATATTTGGATATGAAGTGTGGAGCAGAAGCAGCCCCTGAGATAACTCCCCTGTTTGGAGGTGGAGCTGGGTGGACACCGGCTGTGCACTGATCCCTGCCAGGTCCCACTCTGACCTCTGCTGCCGGGCTGCTGCCTGCAAGGAGCAGCAGAGTGACACTAATGTGGGCTCTGGTGCTTCAACCTTCGGTAATTTCGCTTTGCTGCTCCATTTCCCTTCTCCACCCACCCACCTACTCCTCTCCCAGCCGCCGCAGCCATAGGAATAGCCTGCCCTCTGCAGTGTATCCCCACGGCACTGCCACACACCTCGTTACCGTCACACTCTGATGCACCACTGGAAGCATGTGGAGGTAGGGGAGAGGTGAGAAAGCCTCAGGCATAGACACAACAGGTAGGAAGCTGATATATATCCTGCAAGCTGTTAGAGGAAAATCAGCAGACGTGTGGGTAACTGAGCTAAAAACAAAAATTAGGGATAAACCAGAACTGCAGTTTGTACAGACCTAAAAAGAATTATTTTTAAAGGTTACAGTCATCTCAGAAAAGAGCTGTTAGTCCTTACATCTGTCTTTTTTTCATGAGTGCCAGCAGATCTGAATAGATTTCTTACCTGCTCTGTGTTTGTTTCTCCTGTCCACAAGCCCGCAGCGAGGACTAGTTTCTTCACAATTGTCTTTCAGATAGAAGGAATCAGTAAAAAGTTTTATTTCCTCCACTTGCCAACAAAATCTGTAAATTTTCCAAAAAAGTACTTCAATATTTTCAGTAGATAAATTGATGGATGAAGCTACTACTTAATCTACCAGATAGCTAACAGAATTAGGGCATTCATAACTTGATCTGCTCTGTAAAAGATTTCTGGTCAGTCCTCGTAATGGAAAATATTTACATAATTGGAAGTTTTGGCTTGATAAAGTAGTGGTTTTGTAGGCAGCTGAAGAATAAGGTTCACTGTTGAAGTGAGACACTCCCATAACACCACTCCAGGCTGCAGGTAATGCCATTAACTATCTGATTTGTTTGGAATTGTTGTGGGGTTTTTTGGTTTTGTTTTTTTCAAAAAATGGACGAGACAGAAATTTTGGATTGTTTTCCTTTTTTTTTTTTCTTCATTATATCCAGATTCCTTCCTGTTTATGATATTTAGTAAATCTGTTGGTTCATTACACTGCTGAGAAGACACATTCTGCTGCATTCAATGACCCTAACACTTTTGATCCTGATTCCTAAGGATATTGAAGAATTACTGATGGAGAGAGAGAGGAGAGAGAATGGGAGAAGGAAAACCCATTAGGAGGTAAAAAAAAGAATTAATTTGAATGTATAGGAATAAAAACAACGGTAAAATTTTGGTAAATGTACCAGTTTAAGTGCAGTTCTAAGGTAATGTATATAACTCTCAATTTTTTAGTGTACAACTTTGCCTGTGGCTGTATAAATTTTAGTTCTATGAAAGAGAAAGTTTGGGATGTGTTATTATAGAGCTTCTGTAACATACTGATAAAAAGCTGTCCATCAAAAGGGTTGGTGATGCAGATGTATCATCTCACTGGTGAGCTATTAACAACACAGATTGATTACATGAAGAGTGTAGAAAGATAGCTTATCTTTGTGCTGTAGAAATTTTTGTGACTGAAAAAGTGAGGGGAGTTCCAAAAGAGGCTTTTGCTAGGCTTGAAATGGATTACTCACCCCAGGTTTTTCTTTATGGACTTGCAGTGTTGACCTAAGTTGTATCAGTTCATCTCTTTGAACCTTCTTCCTCTAACAAAAGGAAGAGAATAGTAAAATCTATTTAATGTAAATAATGAAGGAGTGTAACATCAGTACATGCCTTCAGGTATTTGTGACCTTTTGGATAGAAAGTATATTATGAAGTCAACATTCCTCAACAAACACATTTCCTCATAAGATGAACTTCTTCCCATGATTGGTAACAGCACAGAATGTTGCTCTTAAAATGTACAGTGGGTTGTGAAACCTCAACTAATCTATCAGTGAAGAATGAGCTTTTCACATTGAATTATTGTATTGATTTCCCTTTCTTGAAAATTTACTAGCTCTTTTAATATATGCTGTACAGGCACAGTCCAAAATCAGATTTGGCAGGTTTTATCAAGTAAATATAAGAGAAAGTGCCAAAGTGAAATCAACTTCAACTGCACTATTTTTCTTTCTCACTCACATATACCTTTGTAGTAGAAATATTATATAGGATCCCTTTAAAATGCAAACGACTTCTGACAATAAAAAAGCTTTGTATCGTGGCTTAAATTTGGATTGGAAAAGAACAAAACCTGCAAATCGTACAGCACTGCCATTCACAAGATCAAATTATTTTAGTGAGAGTGAAGGAATTTTCAGTTTTCCTAAGGAAAGCAGCATCAATCAATTTACAAAAGTGCTTATTGACATCATTAATAAATCCTGTAATTTTGAGTTGCTAGAATGTTTTCTCAGATAAATCTTCCTGTCAGAAAACTTATTGTAAGTGGGACCCCAACATGTATGGGCTGACTGAATGATAAAAGTGTGTTTAGGAGCAATATAGTCACAATGGGAGAATTCCCCTCAAACTGATATAATTTTTATTTAACCAAATATTTGTCATTATTTCTATATTATCTTTCACTTGGTACATGAACATAAATAGGAAAAAAAAACCTGCCAAAAGTGTTTAAATATTTTACAAAGCAAACTGATGGAATGCCCAAGCTATCTGTAATGGTCTGATAATTTGTAGAAGCAGAAAGTAGTCTCTAGGTGAGAAGACTGGAAACTTATCGAGAAACACTTTGTGATTTCAATTTTCCATGATTCTTGGATGGGCAGGCATTTTAGACTTTTTTTTTTTTTAATTAGCTTGCTTTTTTTTAAATTCAGATTATCTGCTAAACAATTTAAAATAAACATATAAGCAATTCACACAAAAAAAAAAAAAAGAAAAAAGAAAAAAACCATAAACTATTGAAGCTAAAACTGATACCAAGTCTAATCTTTGATTCCTCAAAGTGTTTATGTCCAGCCAAGTAGAATTTGCTAAGAGAATTCAGTCATTTCCCAAACTTCTCTTTCAGCAATGTCTGTCAGGATGGGATATTATTACTGAAAAGGCCAGGAATCTGGGGTGTTCCCTTTGGTTTACCTGAGGACCATGATATTTGTCAGTTTTTGCTACAGTAAGGGCTCACACATGCTTAAAACTTACACAAAACAATGAGTTTCTGCTGTGTAGCTGCCAAGTTAAGTCTTCATCCTTGCTTTGGCTTGGAGGTTTCATACACATTGCAGGTGAACAATTAAATCTCTAACAATGGTAATGCAGTAATATTAACAAAAATTCATTGCACAGGCTTAAGTGGTAGAGAAATGGCCTCAAATATGGATTGTGTCAGAGGCAGACCCCTCTCCCTAGTTAGGATTCACAGAAGCAAAAGCAAGGTGACTTAACTTACCTGGACTATTTTTACTTACACACAGGCTGACCCATTTACAACTAGGCAGCTTTCTAGTTAATTTAATTCCAAACCTATGCCCTGAGCTTGAGTGTAAGAGACCTGGGTTCACTCTCGTCTCTGCTTGAGAAGATCTGAATTCTTACCTTCCAGGAGAATATCCCATAAGATATTCATGAGGGAGGAAAATATTTTCCCCCTCCTATTTCAGCCTGAAAGCTGTTCCACTTTGAGATAACTAATTAAATATTCAGTGCACTGAAAAAAAGACTAAAGTTTAGAGCAATTCCTTAGCCAAGGGCTATGGGTACCTCCCTTAAGATGAAGAGCCACAAATCCAGTTCTTGCTCCTCTGAAAACCTTGACATGGGAATCAGGGAGAAAAGAACTACAATATTTGCTCTCAAGAGAGTGAACTACTCCACACAAAGTGAAGGAAATAGGACACATCCTCCTTCCTTGGCCAAAATAGTATTTATTTTAGAGAAACACGGGAAATGTTTTGTTGAACCTCTTCATGCAAAACCAAGAATTTACACTGGGACTCCATCAAGGCAATGGAATAACCACAGAGCAGTGTCACTGTGGGCTTCTTATCAAAACCAGTCTACTCATTACTCTGAGTTTCAAAAGCATATTAAGCCATGCAAGTGGGAACACGATATTTACCCATATACCTAGAAGAACAGGCTTGCAGTGTAAAGAAGGTTATATAATTTAGAAAATGAATTATTTTACTACTTAAATAAATTACTTAGGGGATTGGAGGTTGCAAGTTTTAAGGACTATTGTTTGCTTAGAGCAAAGTGACATGAAAATGTTTAATTCTTTTATTCTATAGCATTAATAACTCAGTGCTAATAATTAACATAAAAATATGCCTTTCCTTATAAGCCTGAAAGAATAAAATTATTTGTTAATTGGTTAACTATAGTAATGATTAATAATAAATAAAGGCAACCATATTTCTTTCCTGAGGATATCATATCTGTCCTTTCAGCAATTTATAATGGACTTATGGGTTACTTGTTCTAATTAGTGGGTTGGGACACTCTTATTAAACAAAATTGTATTATAAGGTAATATATACTTTATAAGGCATGTATCGGGAGAAACATTTCCAACAGCAGAATATAGAGAACAGTCTGTTCTGTCAGTGGTATGGCAAAATCTAACTGCACCCAGAAGCTATTTTTCCTTGATCCTATGGTTACTATTATATTTATTTTATATATTTACAAAGAGCTTAACAAATTGTGGATGACCATGGAATTTGTACAGCACCACATGAACAGTACAGGACCTTCATTACTGTAAGTTAAAATATGTAGTTATATCTTAAAAAATAGGAATTTTTTTTTTTAAATTTTTTTTTTTTGCCACCCAAAGGAAGTCATAAGAGCAAACCAGAATTCCCTGGGGGTATTGGGTATTAATAAAGAAACATTTTTGCTGATGTGTTTTGGTACAGAGAAAGTGCCAGCAGGGACCATGCCTAACCTGCTTGTGTATTACAGAGTGGTTTTGTGGATACCTTTACAAAGTTAAGGTGTTGGAGCCTGATAGTAGGATGAATATGCCACTGTTCTTCATACTGGAATAGTTAAACATGATGTCCAAGTTGACCAACATGTGCGTCATCTTTACTGCAGCCCCCCCAGTGAAATGAAAGAGCCATAAATGAGGGAGAGGAGTGAGAGAAGAAAGGAAAGAAGAGAGGAAAGAAAAGAGAACCCTTACTTTAGTGATTAGTTTTTATATTAAATGATGAAAAATGTAAAAGAGCCTTCAGCAATGGGAAATCACAGATAACTTCAAGGACAAGAGCATGGTCTTTCTAGTGGTTGGATTCTTCTGGGGTGCCTTTGAGTATTAATCATGACTTGGGAGATTTATCTATATAAGAGAAAATACTTTAGTGGTTATGTGACTGAAGTTTAAGTGACTGACTATCTGACAACTGGGTGTTTTGGGGGGCTTGGACAAAATCTGTAAGAGTTTATCCAGAAGAAGAAAGGAATGACCAACTACTTCACCAGCTACTCTGCAACTGTAGCAGAAGAAGTAATTTCAAAGTGTCTCATTCTCAGATTTGGTAGATTATTCAGTTTTGCCAAGTGGTTTTGTAAGTGTGGTTTGCTTTTATCTCTGATTTTTTTTTTTTCTTTTATAAAGGTTGCTTGTGAGTGAGAAATTACTTTTATTGAGTGCTTCACTGGAACAAGTTTCCCAGGTCCAGGGAAGAGAGAGCATTTTAAATTTTGTATTCTTCTCTACAGAGTTAAAGGAAAGCTGTCATAGAAGGCACCTTACAATTTCAACTTTTAGAGATTGTAATTTTCAAGAGTAGTTTCTATAAACAAGGGTATATTCAATTCACACCCTTAGTTCTGCGTAAGTATAAGGCTGAATTGTAAGTTCTATTTTTTTCTTTCTAATAGAAATCCATTTTAATTTTCAACCAAAAATTACTCTTGTCACACGTTTGATTAACTGATTTATTGTTCACTGTTAATGCTGTAATGTGACACATCACTGTTTAATGTGACTTGATCACTTAGAACTTTGTGAATGTTCTGAGCATAATCCAAATTTAAGGAAAACATTTGACCGTGAAAATAAAACCACTTTTAATAAGTAAGAAAACTACTTGTTTTCTTAACATTTTGAAGGCTCTTCAAAGTCAACAAACAACAATAATACCTACTTGTTTTAATAGAATCCCTACTTTAAAAAAAAAATTATTTTAAACTGAAATGAATGCACAGGAATTTCAGGAGATAAACTCTACCAAAGTTTTTTTACTCAAACTTTTTTTTACACTGCCATGATTCATTCTCTGTTTCTCTAAAAATCTGTTACCTGGAACTGTCAATGTTGAAGCCAACACTGAAGTACAAGAGTAAAATATAGACATTGTGGAGATTTGAGGAAGACAAATTTATTTTATAAAATAGTTTTCTGAATTTTCCTTAAATGATATGCACCTACATGTTTAAATGAACAGGTTTTAAATATGAAAGTGTTTTTTCACCCCCCTTGCACCTCATGTTTCTCACAGGGTTGACTAATGAATTATGAGTGAATTAAGAGTTTACTAGATAAAAAAATCACCCTTAAAAGAGAAAGAATAAGTTATTCCTAAATAAGAGCTGTAGCTAATTAAATATACATAATTTCATTCTTTCATTTTCTTTGGCAAAGCTTCGCAAGACTTAATATTACTTTAATCAATATATTCAAAATGAAGTAATAAAAATTGAAATTAGGTTTGAAAAATGGAAATTAAGCAAACACTTGCAAAGAATT